AGTCACGTGTGGAGACACGTGGTGGAGTCAGTGGTTGAGTCACGTGGTGGAGTCACGTGGTGGAGTCATGGAGTGGAGACACGTGGTGGAGTCACGTGGTGGAATCACGTGGTGAAGTCACGTGGTGAAGTCAGGTGGTGGAGTCACGTGGTGAAGTCAAGATAAACAACAAGGTATTGTCTTTAAGTATGTTCTGTTATAATATGAAGTTGATCCCTTCAATAATAGCAAAATTACAGCCAGTTACAGCCAAAACAAAGTCAAGGTCATTAACAAGTGAAGGTCAAGGTCTGTCGGGTTATTTTTAAGGGTTATCCTTGAAGATTATTATGTTCAAGTTTGAAGACAATCCATTCAAAAATAATAAAGTTACAGCCAATAATAGCCAAAAACATGAAAATTTCAATAATTTGACCTTCAAAGTCAAGGTCTTTTATGAGTGAAGGTCAAGGTCTGTGGGGTTATTTTTAAGGGTTATCCTTGAAGATTATTATGTTCAAGTTTGAAGACAATCAATTCAAAAATAACAAAGTTAAGCCAATAATAGCCAAAAACATGAAAATTTCAATAATTTGACCTTCAAAGTCAAGGTCATTTATGACCGAAGGTCAAAGTCTGTCAGGTTATTTTTAAGGGATATCCTTGAAGATTATTATGTTCAAGTTTGAAGACAATCCATATATAAATAACAAAGTTACAGCCAATAACAGCATGAACAAGGAAAATTTGGACTTTTAACCTTGAAGGTCAAGGTCATTTATGAATGAAGTTCAAGGATAGTGTATTTTACTGAAAGGTCTTGTCCCCAAGGGTTGTTGTTGCCAAGTATGAAGACAATACACCAAGAAATAAAAAAGTTATGATCCAGGTACAAGTTTGCGGACGGCAACGCCAGGGCGACTATAACAATACCTCTACTTTTTTTTTCAAAAAAAAAAGTCGAGCTAAAAAAATGATACTACAGAAATATACTCGGAATAAAATTGAAAATCGATATTAATGAAGTGTAATTTTCAGACGGACTTTAGCTATAAACATTTAAACACTGTCAACAGGACATTGTGCTTGACTATTCACAGTGATGGATAATGCAGAATTTTCTAACTTCAAAAATGGAAATAAAAGTAACCTAAGTTTGACGCCAATGCAGTTAGTACTATTATAGCATTAGCTATTCATTGAATACTCAAGCTAAAATGATTACTAGTATTTTGGAAAAACAAAGTGAGCAAATAATCTAAAATTGTGCATACAATTTTTTTACATGAAAAGTAATAGATCTTCATCAAATGGTATGACACAGCAACAACATAACTCCCATTAGACATCCTATCATGTCAAACAATTATTATAATAAAATCCTCAATGGAGTCCCTTTAACTATACAATTTGAAAATTACTAACTGTATCTATCTGTACACATAAGTCGTTTTGTATAATAATAACATTTCTCACTTTTTTACAATCTCTACAATATAAAACAATCCAAGAAGGAATCTCTAAAACATAACATGTAAATTGTCATCATCTCAATATATATCATGTAACAGTACTATTATAGAATTAGCTATTCATTGAATAGCCGAGCTAAAATGATTACTAGTATTTTGGAAAAACAAAGTGAGCAAATAAACTGAAATTTTGCATACAAATTTTATACATGATAAATAATGTATCTTCTTCAAATAGTATGAAACCTCAACAACATAACTCCCGTCCTATCATGTCAAGAAATTAAGACAATATTATCCTCAGTGGAGACCCTTTAACGATACTGTTTTGAATAATACTGACTAACAGTATTAACTTGTACACATTTATGGTTTTCAATAATTACAATTTGTAAATTTTTACAATCTTTACAATATAAAACAATCCAAGAAGGAATCTCTAAAATATAACATGTAAATGGTCCTCATCTCGATGAAACAATTTACTTGTCCTATATATCATCTAACAGGTATTTATATATAACATTCCATTGTCCTATATATCATATAACTGGTGTTGATATAAATAATTCCATTGTCTAAATATTGTATAACAGGAATTTACATATAACATTCCTTTGCTACATATAACATATAACTGGTATTCATTCAAACCATTCCATTTTCCTTTACATCTTATAACTGGTATTGATATATACCATTTCCTTTCCATATTTAACATATAATATACATATATGGTATTTTTATATACCAAACACTTATCCTATATATCATATAACTGGTATTAATATATACCATTCAATTGTCCTAAATGTCATATAACTGGTATTTATATATACCATTCCCTTGACATATTTCTCATATAACTGGTAATTACATATACCATTCCTTTATCCTATCATATATTATATAATATAACTGGTATTTGAATGTTATATTTATCTTTTACTTTTTCTGACCTTGTACATTATGATATTTCCATTCAAATTACTTATTATATTTACTTATTCATTAATTTATTTACTTGCTAATCTATTTATGTATTTATAATTCAAAGAATCTATTACTTTTTCAAATTATACTTTTCACAAACTATCCCTGATCTTTAAAAAAAACAGTTACCTATATTTTCTTTATATTTCACTGCATTTCTTTCATTTATTTATTTAATTACACATTTGAATATTACTTTCATCAATTTCAATATTACTACAATGACCAGAAATTGATATTTAATGAACTGTTTTTGATGATTGTTATTTATCATATTGTATTACATTCATTATTTAACTTATCAATATGTAACTTTAGTATTATATTTTTATTTTGCTGATAATGTTTATTTTAATAATTATGTCTTTTATCATGAAATAATTTAAATTAAGCACTATGTTAACTGCATGTATTCTATCTCACTATGTTAAAAATTCAGATAATTTCTTTTGTCAAAAATGAAAAAAAAATATCATCTCTTTTCACATGCATTAATTTAGTTTAAATACTACCTGTATACTTTATCACTTTTTTGTTGAAAAGTTAAACACAAAAAGACCAGGTTTAACATGAAATAACTGATCCTTATCCTTTACATACTGTTTAGCATCATTTCCCTTCCCTCCTCTAAGTCCTATTCCTAGTGATGTCCCTGTTAACCTATCATCATTAAACTCCTCACCATCTCCTGTTATATAACAGAACCTTACTCTAACATCTACAGTATGAGGAATACCAGGAAGACTATCAACAAACTTCTGCCATGTTGTCAAACTCATTATGACATTTTGAAGCTTAATGTACTTTAAACTCTTCATCTCTAAAGGTGACTGTATTATATTGTCAGTTACCCTACAAGACCGTAATTTAAGCTTACTGAGATTGTGTAACAATGGTAATACTGTTACTAGTCTCTTTGTTATGTTGGTATGATATGATTGAGATTTATTGCTATTATCAGCATGCAATACAAGTTCTTTTAATTTGTATGATTTTGTAATAATATCATATATTTTCTCATTATTACTTTCTTTCAAATTACCAACTATTAAAATTTCAAGGTTTGTACTATCAGCATCTATCACACTAACAGTATCATACAAATGAAGGTACTGAAGTTGTTGATGTTTTGATAAATTTACATCATGCTGGTTCCCACACTCACATTTAACATAATAAAGATGTATTTGTTCAAGATGACTTGTTCTCTCAAGAGAATTACAAAATGTAGTAGTATCATCATGTCTCATTGTTATATCACTCATTCTTATTGCTACAAGACGGATCATACTAGGTAGGTTACTAACAACTGTTTTACACACTGGGTAATACTTGTCAGTGTAAGAGACACCAAGAGACAGAGATTTTAATGTTAAAGTATTTACTTTAATTGTCTCACAAACACAATTGTTAATCTCATTAATCCTCTGTTCATTACTCTGTGTACTATCACTTTGTGTACTTAAGAACCTTTGTGATGTAGGGCCATATGATATTGATTCATCACCATCATCATCATATGTTATTTTAATTTTTTCAAGATGATGAAACATTGGTAAATATTTTGTAAATTTAACATTATTTGTGTTGATGTCATCTACTTTAATAGACAGAACAGAGTCAGGAACAATTTGATGCTGATCAATACCTGAACAAACAATATCACAATCACCACTATCATCACTGTAATTAATGACTAAATCTCCTATATAAAATACAGGATTACTTCCTACACTACATGTTGCATTGAATTCTCCCATTGACTCTAACATAAGCTTTTGAATATCAGTAATAAAACGATGGTGCACATGAACCTCATAAATGTTACATTTTATTGTTGTCCTGTATTCCTGAACACGAGAGTCTTCTGACACAGTATCATATATGTATTTTGAAACATGTATTGCTAATCTAGGTTCTAGACCACATAGCATAGTGATAACATTTGATTGCTCTAATAGGTCATTTACTGTTGAACATTTCTGAAAAACCTCATTAATAAATTTCTTGGCTAATTCAACATTTCCTGTACTATCTGATGAACACATTTTTGCATTGAAATTGATACAAATATTTACTGCAGCCAGAAATTCTTGCATTGATTTGTGAATAAAAGAGAACAATGAGCTTGGTGGTTCTGATACAGATAAACTTGGACAATCATCTTCTGTCATTATTCCAAGTTTCAAGCAATTTTCTCTTACTTCATCTGATATTTCTAGTTCATCAAACATAAAAATGTCAAATGTCAAGGATTTATCCTTCGGACAATTAAATAGTGTCTCATAAGCCAACTGTGACACTTCATAAATGAAATGGCGATTTAATCTTAATTTGGTTTTATCGGCTAAATATTTAGGAAGATCTACTTTCTGGGTCCCCTTCATGAGTCGAGTACTTGTTCCTGTAGTTTTCATGTCATTCCAGGTGAAGAATAATTCTAACATACCGGTGTAGATGGCACATCTTGATGTTTTATTGAGTTTACCATCAAACCATAGACATATCAGTTGTTGTAGCATTATTGGTACCTGTTTTAGACTTTTCAGAGACTTTTCATTCAGCTTTTTTCCTACAATCTCTAGCTTCTTTATTAGCATGTCTGCTAACATTTAATTGTGAGACTGTCCTATTTACCATTTCCCTTTCACATCTAAAATCAAACCCTTTCAGATTCAGCGACTGTTCAATCTCCACATCACTTGATCTTAATGTATGAAATTTCCATGGACGCGAAGTAGTTACTATTGTGTACTGTTTAAAGATGCTATGTTCTGGGACATTTTCAGAGGACCATTCATCTAAGCCGTCAAGCAAAATCATAACTCTAGAGGATTCTTCTTCAAGAAGTATGTGTAACATTTTCATTTGATAACGTTTTTGAAGCATTTCATCTATATTGTCAATTTTTTCATACTGTCTAAGAGGGATGTAAAATACAAAATCAAATTTCTTCATCTCTTTTACACCATTGAATTTCAGTTCATAACTTTTGCTATCATATTCAGAGTCATAAATATTAAATTTAAAGTCCGTTAAGATCTCATCAGAGTCATCATTGTGAGATTCGGAGTGTATTAAGCCATCACTGTTATCCTGAATGTCATCACTGTCACTTCCATTTTTCTTAATGCCACCCAAATGTTTTTCATCTCCTCGTTTCTCATGAACACCTCCATGTGTCTTACTGCCCTCTTTGTGTTCATTGTCTCCACTATATGTCCCCTTTACCTTTTCATTTACAATGTTACTTCCCTTTTTTTCATGTTCTTCAAAATCACCTCCTTGTTTCTCAGTGCCAACTTCATTGTCATTGACACCTCCAGCTTCATGTTTTTCACCATCACCTCCATGTTTTTCACTGTCACCTTCAGGTTTACTACTGCCACCCTCATTTTCATTGCCAGCTCCATGTTTTTCACCATCACCTCCATGTTTTTCACTGTCGCATTCAGGTTTACCACTGCCATTTTCATCGACAGCTCCATGTTTTTCATAATCACCTCCATGTTTTTCACTGTCACCTCCATGTTTTTCACTGTCGTCTTCAGGTTTACTACTGCGACCTTCATTTTCATTGTCAGCTCCATCTTTTTCACCATCACCTGCATGTTTTTCACTGTCACCTTCAGGTTTACTACTGGCACCTTCATTTTCATTGACACCTCCTTGTTTTTCACCATCACCTCCATGTTTTTCACTGTCGCCTTCAGGTTTACCACTGCCATCTTCATTTTCATTGACCCCTCCATATTTTTCATCAACACCTCCATATTTTTCACTGTCACCTTCAGGTTTACTACTGCCATCTTCGTTTTCATTGACCCCTCCATATTTTTCATCATCACCTCTATGCTTTTCACTGTCACCTTCAGGTTTACTACTGCCACCTTCATTTTCATTGACACCTCCATGTTTTTCACCATCACCTCCCTGTTTTTCACTGTCACCTTCAGTTTTACTACTGCCACCTTCATTTTCATTGCCAGCTTCATGTTTTTCATCGTCATCTCCATGTTTTTCACTGTCACCTTCAGGTTTATCATTGCCATCTTCATTTTCATTGTCAAATTCATTGCCAGCTTCATGTTTTTCATCGTCATCTCCATGTTTTTCACTGTCACCTTCAGGTTTACCATTGCCATCTTCATTTTCATTGCCAGCTTCATGTTCCTCACTATGTGCCAAACACCAACAGTTGACCAGATATTTACAAAAGCTAGTTTTTCCTGACCCTGCCTCTCCTAGAACATATACAGATTTTTGGGGGACTGCGTTCTTTGTGAAGATTTCTGACATTGTTTTAACCTCCACCTCCTTTGTCTCACCCTTTTCTCCTTTTATTTCCCTGGTTATTTTTGGCCTAATATAAATCTCATTAAAGCTACATTTTTCACTTTTTGGTTGTAAAGGTGTTGTAGGAACTTGCAGCAGGGTTTTGTGATACTGTTCTATCAGATTTTCCCGCCATTCTGTAATTTAAATGATTAAATGAATTCCAATTGTTAAGGACAAATCAATAAGTTAATGATACAGAAAATTAGTATAGACCTGCATGGACAGATTAGGACAGGCCCAAAACATTTATTGTGCAAAATAAAGACAACAGTTTAATTTAAGCACACACGCACGGAATATCAGTCAGCCAGTTTTTAAATAAAATTCTCTATTTCTGTTTATATATACTTAACTTTACTTGTCAATCTAATGCTTTCTACTTTGTTTAAAATATGAAAACAAATATCAGCAAAAGAAGCATTGCATTCTATAAATGCATAACCCTAAGTAACACAACCACAAAGTTTATCTCCCAGTCTCAATAATTTCAAAAGAATTGAAACAGAAACTCATTTTGTATGAAGACACATTCCAAATTAAAAACATTTTTGCTTTGGATTTTTGCAGGCCCGAATGGGATTTTCCCCTCCTCTGTCATCGAGGTGTGCCTTATTTCGCAGACTGCATATAACATACCTGATTTAGCCTTTACATATCCTGCATAGAATACCTAATTTAGTCTTTTCATTTATTATATAACATACCAGATTAAGCCTTTTCATAAAATATATATAATACCTCATTTAGCCTTTTTCATATAATATATAACATCATATGTAACATCCCTGATTAAGCTTTTTCATATTCTATAATATAACATACCTGATTTATTCTTTTTATTATATTTTATATAGCATACCTGATTTAGCCTTTTCATATATTATACAACGTACCTGATTTAGCCTTTTCATTATTTATACAACATATCTGATTTAGCCTTTTCATATTTTATATAACATACCTGAGGCACACGCTTTCTAATAATTGGGGACCATACATGGCTTTTCATGGAATGGCACGGAAGTGTCGCATTGATAACCGCCATATGAACATATCTACGTATGTTTCTTAATGCAAAATTTTATCATTTCATGTTTAAATGTTGAATTTTGCTTAAGCCAGCGCTAGATGGTAGTTTGAACTTACGGTACTGTCCATGAACAGGCTCACTCAAACCAAGCCTACAACATTTTTAATTTTGTTGTTTTTGGGCTTTCTTTAGGGATTCTCATTTTCTCTATTTTAGCCGTTTTCATATTCTATATAACATACCTGATTGAGCACTTTTTATATAATATATAACAAACCTGATTTAGCCTTTTCATATGTTATTATAACTTACCTGATTTAGAATTTTCATATATTATAATTATATAACATACCTGATTTAGCCTTTTTCAATAATATATAACATACCTGATTTAGTCTTTTCAAATCTGACAACATATTCATATTTATAGTCATATTCTATTTAACATACCTGATTTAACCATTTCATATTCTGTATAACATACCTGATTTAGCCTTTTCATATTCTTGTTGAGAAGAAACTTCTACCTTGAGTCTTTTTATCTCCTATAACACAAAATATAATACAAAAAATTGTGTTTTATTCATTAAATTTTTAAAAATGTTTATTGTATACAGAAATATTTGTATTTTCAGTTCATTTGTTTACCATACAGTGTCCCAATAGAATTTCTACGAGACAAACTTCTATAAGCTGATTATCTGGAACAGTGTGGAAGTAAAATGAAAGTCCTGATATTTTCCCCCATTATATTCTTTATAGACTTAGAACTCCATGAGTCAGATGTCTTGCCTTGTCAACAGTATAGCTGTCAGTTAGGCATTTTCTTCTTAAATATAGGTTATTCATTATCACTGTTCTCGTACATTTACCTTTAGTGGCATTTGAACTGATTGTAACAATGTTACATCAGGATAAATAAATCTGTTATATTATCAAAAATAAAAATATCATGGAACAGTTTTTTCACTGACAGATCAAAAATGAAGAACTATATGATGGATTCTTCTCAAATGCATTTCAGGTCAATGAAAATTTGGAGTCAATCAAACTTATAGTGACCAAGTTATGCTCTGGACAAGATTATTAAGTAAGAAAATTAACAAAGGGCAATAACTCAACAAGAGCCACTGCCAGACAGGGGCAAAACTCAACCTGATTTCCTTTTTTCTAAAATTAAACAGAAAATTAAAGAAAACTAGAAATGTGTCCATATAGGACACTGGTGTCCCCACACTCCACTGTTTTGCCCATACTCCACTGTTTTGTCAATTGTATGACTCTAGGTCAATTATTATGATGCGGTCTAAGATTTTGACCCCAGGGCTTTTATTTGAACAAACTTCGTAGACACTCACTAGAATATATTTCATGCTTAGTATCTAAACGCTAGCTCTCTTTGGGTTTTTCATTAGAATATTTTTTAAGTTTTTTACTATACACATTTAAAGACAAGAAACATGGCAATGCCATGAAACCAGGTTTTCAATTATCACCATTGTAGATAAATATGTTGTATTTGAAATACAAATACAAGCAACAAACAATGTAACTATGTGCAATGTAAAACATGAATAATGTAGGAGGAATTGCCACAGAGGAAGTGTTCACTATAATTATATTCTGTATAAGGAAAAAAAACAAAGGGCCATAATTGAATAAACTAGAACTGCCACTATCAATCATAATCATGGCGTGAATACCCCCGCATACCACTTTGTCAGAATTAACAGTGGCCATTTAGAGCTCAAGGACAACCTCCCTGACAAATCTGAGGTTACTAAGCCAGTGCATTGCTAAGTTATGTATTCTACATGCTTCAAATGTGAAAATGTCAAAATCAATACACTGCAGACAGGACATTCTTTAGCAATTAAGAAGAAAAGCTTTTTCTTGTCAAGGTCCCTGTGACCTTGACTTTTGACCCAGTGTCACCTCAAAATCAATAGGGGTCACCTTATAGTCATGATCAACATCCATGCCAAATATGAAGACTTTGGCCAAAGGAATCTTAAGTTAATGGGTGGACAAACTTTTTGAAGTGAAAGTCCCTATGACCTTGACCTTTGATCCAGTGACCTCAAAATCAAAAGGGGTCATCTACTAATCACGATCAACATCCATGCCAAATATGAAGACTGTGGGTCAAAGGAATCTAAAGTTATTGGGCAAACAAACTTTTTGAAGTCAAAGTTCGTGTGACTTTGACCTTTGACCTGGTGACCTCAAAATCAATAGGGGTCATCTACTAATCATGACTTACCTCCATGCCAAATATGAAGACTGTGGGTCAAAGGAATCTTAAGTTATTGGGCGGACAAGCTTTTTGAAGTCAAGGCCCCTGTGACCTTGACCTTTGACCTAGTAGCCTCAAAATCAATAGGGGTCATCTACTTATCATGACTAACCTCCATGCCAAATATGACGATTGTAGGTCAAAGGAATCTTACGTTATTGGGCGACAAGCTTTTTGAAGTCAAGGCCCCTGTGACCTTGACCTTTGACCTAGTGACCTCAAAATCAATAGGGGTCATCTACTAATCATGACTAACCTCCATGCCTAATATGAAGACTAAGGGTCAAAGGAATCTTAAGTTATTGGGCGGACAAGAAAAAACCGCCGGACGGCTGGACAAGCTGATTCCAGTATACCCCCCTTACAACTTTGTTGTGCGGGGGTATAAAAATTATTCAATCACAAAACCCCGACAATATGGGCCAGGGCACTGGATGACAAAGCTACTGTGAAAGTTTGAACAAAATCCGTTGAGAAATGAAGGAGTTCAGCACAGAAATTTTTTTTCACTATATATTCTGTATAAGGTAAAATAACAAAGGGCTATAATTAGGTCAAATATTATCCAATCACAAAACCCCGATAATGTGCGCCAGAGCACTTGATGACAAAGCCTCTGTGAAAGTTTGGTCAAAATCTGTTGAGAAATGTAGGAGAAGTTGCGCATGGTAACAATTGTTCACTATATAACCTGTATAAGGAAAAAAAACGAATGGGCATAATTAGGTCAAATAGTATCCAATCACAAAACCCCAATAATGTGCGCCAGGGCATTTGATAACAAAGCTTCTGTGAAAGTTTGGTCAAAATCTGTTGAGAAATGTAGGAGAAGTTGCGCATGGTAAAAATTGTTCACTATATAATCTGTATAAGGAAAAAAAACAAAGGGCCATAATTAGGTCAAATATTATACAATCACAAAACCCTGTCAATATGCCCTAAGGCACTTGATGACAAAGCCTCTGTGAAAGTTTGGTCAAATTCCGTTGAGAAATGTAGGAGGAGTTGCGCACAGAAAATTGTTCACTATCAGTAGGGAGATGGTCTCTAGCCGGCAAACCTTTTTTGGTATATAAATTTCAAGTGCGCATGCGTGACGGATTTTCCTCACGGAGACCATCGAAATTCAGGACAGGCGCCATATTGAAAATTAAATGGTCGATGCGACAGCAATGCAGAGAAATACAGAGCTATAAGGCTATCCACGGAAATGTTGAAAACTGGTAAAAATTAATTGTAATGAAATAATTTTTCTATTTATTGATAGAAATTCAGATCGGTAATAGACATAATGAATAGTTACCCTCAGTTGACCTACTTCAATCGATGTTTTTCGGGAAGTAAAAAAATGCAGATAATCACCATATGCAGGTTAAAGTTCTAGGTCACCTCGTTTATTGTAGTGCATATTTATAATTAGGATTTACATATTATTCACATTTTTAGCATAAAGTTATTTCTATAGAAAGCCTGCATTGTTGAAAAGCGGGTTTTTCATTCGTACCACAACCCACTCGAACCAAACTCCGTTGCGAATGTCAGACTAATAAACATTCAAATATTCAAACTTAGTCGCCAGATAAACTTGTCATGAAAAAATATATATAATTAACATTGTCAACACTGAAGTACATACAAATTATGGTCGACATGTCAGTAAATGTAGTTGCTATTAATTTATTCTGTAAAATAGAATCCGGGGCCCACACAGTGTTTGGATGGTATATACTGCTTGATAGTGACCTTAAAATAAGATTTTAGTCATTACCTTATAATATGTATATAAATATAGACAAGGGGCATTACTCGCTAAATAGAGAATTTTCGATCACCCTAAAATACATGCGAGATTTTCCACTAATTAAATAAAAAAAATCCAAAAACTATACTGCGTTGCATAGCTTATATAATCCACAATTGATAAACACTAACTCTTTTCTGATTCCCTTAGCCCATTTTAAGAAATTTATTCAAAACCGTTCACTTCTGTCACAAAATTGCTTAGTCGTACGAGATGTCGCATCACAAAATTCCACGGGTAAAATATCAATTATAAAAGTGGTAGGTAAAAATAAAAGCATGCAAACAATAACACAACATAGTTTCTATTACCTACCTGCGCAAATAGTCGTGAAGCGCTCTATATTCGTCTGTTTCGAACAAAATCTTCAAATCAGTGCAGAAATCTGCTTCGACGTAGACATCTTGGGGAAACCCCGTTCACGTGACCAGCCGGTGTATCGAGACCTTTCATTGGTTCGGTAGGAACTTAGTTTATGACGACAACCAATGAAAGGTTTCCATACACCATGACCAGAATTTCCAACATGTATTCGCCGAAGCAGATTTCTGCACTGACTTGAAGATTTCGTTCGAAACAGACGAAGTTGAAATTGAAAGAAAAGAAGATAAGCTTTTGAATAAAGCTTGAAAGGCAAGACAAAAGACATTTTTTGAATTTTTTATGATGCTATGCGTTTTTGAGCAATACCTATTAGACGTCGGGCTTGACCAACATAAACTATAACAAGCCTGTAACGTCTTATATATTGGACTACCCAAAAATATACCGGGCCCGGAGTCAGCTCGGCCGTATTCCAACTGGGCACGGGTCAACTCGGGCCCATTTAAAAAATGGGTAAAAGACATCAAAATACTCCTATTGTCACAGCGTATTATTATCAATCAATGTGTATGTTACGGATACCGATTAAATTACGGTATGTGATAATTATGATTGACTAATTCATTCAAATTTGATTTATAGTGACCACCTGCAATTAATTAGAAGCTTATGCTATTAAGTAAACACTTTTTTGTTTCATATCTTTTTGAAAATTACATTACAAACAAAATGCATCTAAGGAAACACATTTTTATTATATCTATATTAATTTTATCGAAAAAAAAAAATCCAAATATACTTTATTTCGGCAGAAGCACAATGTATAATTATATAATAATAATAAGTTATTTCTAATTATTTATTTACCTTTACAACATGCAAAGCAAAGTAAATATGTTAAATATATTTTTGTAAAGTGGGCCGAGTTGACCTGTGTTGACTTGGTATAGGGACGAGTTGACTCTTTTCCGGTAAAATATACGGCAAAGGCCCTATATACCAACTAGGCACGTGTCAACTCTGCCCTGTATCAAAATCTGTAAGGATATAAAACTTAAAAGATCAGTTTGGCTCAAATTGGTAATTTTTCATAAGATGCCAAATATTCTTAGGGAATTTCTTTTTTATAGTAACAACCTACATCA